AAGAGGGTTGCTTGAGCCCAGGAGTTTGAGGTTGCTGTGAGCTACGATGATGCCACGGCACTCTACCCAGGGTCACAGAGTGAGACTCTGTCTCAAAAAAAACAAATGAAGGAACGGTAATACCTTTCCTTTCAATAGGCCTTTTAGCAGGATGCCTACACAAATTGGCACTCAGCACTAACTGAATGTAGGAGTCATTGAACAAATGAGTAGTACGAATAAACCTAATTAATCATAAAATGTCCAGACGTTGTGGTTACTGCTGCTGCTATTAACAGTAAATGAAGCAATATTGGTTCTTATAAGGTTGCTTTTTGCTGTAGCCAGTAAAATTTGGTATGATCCTTGTATGTTTTATCTACTATTTCGTACAAATGTAATTGAAATTTTGATTCAGTAAATAAAAATCATGAAATCAGCTGTTAGCTTTTACTACGTTGATTTGAAGAGTCACTTTTATCTAGTTCTTAATATCTGAAATTTTTTTCTCATTGTGTTTTCAAAGTCATTTTAATGTATTTTTCCCCAGGTAGTTTTTTTGCAAAAAGGGTCATTGAGGTTAGCATTTTTTCCCCAAAAAATGTTTAAATTAATACCTCAGCTTTATTTATCTTCTATACAGATCTCAGAAAAAATGAAGATAAATTGAATCATCATCAGCGAATTGGTCTGAGGTAAGATAGCAAATTTTCTTTTGACACTTCAGATGTAAAAGTAGAAATTTTATAGACATTCTTTCATACACCATAATGACTCTTCAAACTTAGCTAAACACACCCACTTTTCTATTCAGAAATACTAAGATTCGTTGTGGACTCCTGCGAGTATATGCCTGTGTTCACATAATGCCTTTGTTTTTGCTTTCTAGTTTTTTTTACGTATTTTGAGGATTTCCCTCATTCTCTTGACTTTAGCAGGGAATTTCCTCTTAAAATACATAGAACTGAGTGCATCAGGCAGCCAGCAGCTGTTTATTTCATGCTTACATTGTACAAAGCACTGCACCAGGTGCGGGATAAAGATATAGATATATTCAGTGTAGCTCTTAAGGAATTTATAGTCTACCTGAGAAGCTAGGACATGAACATGAAAAACTAAATTTAATAAAAGGGATATCCCCACACCTAAATAACAATATAGGAATAACTATAGGCATATGTCTGTATCAGCATCAATAATTATTTCATGTGCCACATATAATCTGGGAACCCCCTTTCTAATTGATTATTTACAATTATAGAACATAAATGCTATGTGTACCTTCCATGGTGTTATATAGTCTTGTTGGTGATTCAGTCCTAATAACCTTCTGAATTTTCCTATTGATGCCTTACCATAATATTTTAAAACTTACACTACTGTTGCAAAATTTTGAGCCAGTAAGAGACCAAGATGGTGGGATTCCCACCTCCTTTGCGTTTGGACAGTAAATGGAGGTCTTCAGAAGAACCTGGTTGTTGTGAAAATTGGTTTTGAACAGGTGCGTCATTGTTCTTACACATGTGCTTAGACATTATTTCATATTCAGATAATATTTTCATAATAGCCTTATCGAGATACAATTCATATATCATCCAATTAAAATATTTAAAGTGTACAATTCAGTGACTTCTTGTACATTCACAGAGTTGTGCAACCCATCACTAATAGTCAATTTTAGGACATTTTTGTTATCTCAGAAAGAACCCTATACCCATTAGCAGTCATTCCCCTTTTCTCCCCAGTGCCACCGCTCTGCAGCACCAGCTTCCTCAGCCCCAGGCAGCCGCTAATCTACTTTCTGTCTCTACAGATTTGCCTGTCCTCGACATTTCCCATAAATGAAATCATATAATATGTGGTCTTTTGTGACTGGCTTCTTTCACTTAGCATAATGTATTCAGAGTTCATCTGTGTTGCAGGATAATATTTTAACTTATGATCCTTTTGCAGGATTTAAGAGCAGTGAACTGTAACTCCTTGACTTGTCAGTAGAGAGCAGTCTACTTTGAAAACATGCACTAACTTAAATATATTTATTTACTCCTGTTATGTGAATATGAGGCTTATTTACACATAAGTTTAGATGGAGTCAATGGAATATTACAAGAGATGACACTTAAGGATTTCAGTCCAATTAAGGAATAAATCTCCCCTTACTCAAATAATTCTAGTCTTGATCATTCTAGCAGATCTAGAATTATCTGCTGGTATGAGGATACCTGTTATGGTAGGCAATTTAATTTTTAAGGAGATTTAAATTTTACTTACTCTGTTTTTTTAGGTATTTTGAAGACTTTGAGAAAAGAATCCCTCGTGAAGAGATGTTACAAATGCAAGTAAGAGTGGGCTGAATTGTATTCTTTGATTAGACTTGAGAATGTCACCTGGCGAGAAGCCATTTTTGGAATACTGACTTAATTTTTCTTCTATTAGGATATTGTACTAAATGAAGTTAAAAAAGTGGATTCTGAATACATTGCTACGGTCTGTGGCAGTTTCAGAAGAGGTAACATACTGGAGATCTTTCCATATCAGTACATAGAGAACTTCCTTATTCTTTTTTATAGCTGCAGAACATTCAGTTGTGTGGATGTACCATACTTCATCCAGTCCCCTATTAATGGACCCTTGGTTTATTTCTCTTTTTCTGCTCATTTTTTTTCATTTTTGCTTTTTAAATAGAGTAAAACATTTTTGGTGATGGGTGGGTAGTGAAAGACATCCAGCTTTTGGAGAAAGAAATGAAAAGAAAAAAAGACAATAGAATTTTCTTTATTAAAATAGCTTCCATAGATGTCCTGGGATCAGTAAACATTCAAATGTAATCTTCTTTATATTTAAATATCTGGTTAATGATTATTGAAGTATAGGATAAAGATACAAAGACACTACAAGATCTTCAGTCACCAAAAGAATGTTTGGCCTATGTTGTATTTATCAAGAAGGAAAGAGAGGAGATGGATGGAATTATTTTGTGCTAGCTGTGTATCGGGCAATATAGCCAATGCTGTTACATGTGTTCTTATTTAGTTGCTCAACAGCTTATGAAGTAGTTTTTAGTCGTTTGCAGACAAGAAAGCTGAAGTGTAGAGGAATGTAGAGTCAGTCCTCATTTGTAATACTGAAAAAAAGGCAGTTAAAGTGAAAAAAAAAATCCATCTAAGTGGAGACAGAATTTCATGAAATATAGTAAAAGAAAGGTTTAAACAGCTGTATATAACTTGCCAGAAGCTATGTGGTTGTTGAATATAGATCAAAACCAAAATCTAGGTCATTATAAAGTGCCGTGTTCTCATCCATGATACCATAATAGTAATTTTTATTACTATGTATTAATTAAGTTCAATCACAAGAATTGAAATGAGTTTTCTAATTAACCTTTACAGAGTTGAGTGTATACTGTTTAATTTGAGATACAGAGTTGTTCATAGGTGTATTTTAAAGCTGTTTTTAAATATTGTTTGTATTTATTATTGAGTAGTTATTTAGGTGCATTTTTAACACATTAAATTAACCAATTGTATGCAATTTATGTCTAATGCCAATTACTGTTGTTATCCCAGATTCTGCTGTCTACACCAATACACCTGAATAGTTGGACAGAAAATTGAAATCTTTAACTAATTCTGAATGTGAAGCACAGTGAAATAGAAAGTTAGGATGTAAGAAGTAAGGCCCTTCCGTGTGTGTCATCGGCTTGGTCCTGCTGGCCTGACTGACACACTGACGTGGAGAATTGCACACGGGTTCCTTTGTTGTCGCAGGTGCAGAGTCCAGTGGCGACATGGATGTTCTTCTGACCCATCCAAGCTTTACTTCGGAATCAACCAAACAAGTACCTCAGAATTCATAATCAAATGTGACTAGTCTTACACAACAATGGATATCATTTTCTAAATGATAGTTGGATATGTCCAGAATAAGTTTTGTTTTAATCTTTCTGAAAAGTCAGCTGCAGTATTTTGTATTGACTGAATTCTATGAAAGGCAGAGTAAGTTGTTGAAAGGGATACACATTGTTTTTCCTCAAGGAATTGGGAGGACAGTCTAGCATTTGAAACAGGGAAAATTTAATAAAATATTTTCAGAATTATTTACTGTCATTGATATTTTAGAAATACTCAGCTTAATATCCAGGTTTTTATTAAACAGATATTTTTCTATTAAAAAATAAAATATCAAGAGACCTTACCTCTATTAGAAAACCCATAAAGGCAAAATATTTTTGATTTTGGAATATATGCCTTTTAAAGATGAAGCAGCTAATTCTTTTATTTAGTGAAACAGATAAAACACAAATGATGTTTGTTTTAGTGTATCATGTTACTGGTGAAAACAGTGGTTTCTAAAAATATGTTTTGTTTGATAAGATGATGAATTTTCTGTTAGAAGGAAAAGGTACTTACTCAGAACATTAAAAAAAAATAGGGATTTCTCCATAGATAATCAGAAAACTCGTCTTAAAATGTTTTCTTAGGGCTGGATGTGGTGGCTCATGCCTATAATCTTGGCACTGCACTTTGGGAGGCCTAGGCGGGAGGATCGCTGGAGTTTGAGACCAGTCTGGGCAACATAGCCAGACACTGTCTCTGCAAAAAAAAAAAAAATTAAAAATTAGCCAGGTGTGGTGGTGCATGCCTGCAGTCCTAGCTACACGGGAGGCTGAAGCAGGAGGATCGCTTGAGCCCAGGCGTTGGAGGCTGCTGTGAGCTATGATTGTACCACTGCACTGCAGCCTGGGCAACATAGTGAGACCCTGTCTCTTAAAAAAAAAAAAAAAAATGTTTTCTTGCCACAACAGAGTAATTGTTCTTTTTCTTATTCCCTAATTATGATTCTACAGCCAAAGCTGTTACATCGTGTTGTGGAACAGTTACAGAAGGTCCATTTTATTACAGATACTTTGTCAAAGGGTGAAACAAAGTTCATGGTAAGTACTCATTTGATTTATTTAGCACATCTGAAAAAAACCTTGGAGACTATTCAGTAACCATTCTGGGTGTGTGACTTCATTGTAGCTTTGTATTACAGTCAACAAGTAGGATATCTATGAGACCTTAGAGAAAAATAATTAGCAGGATGCCTGATTCTCATAGCTACTCTCAGAAGACTTTAGTATTTTCTTTTGAATTCCCCACTTACAAATAATCTGTGCCATCAGAGTAATTAGTCATAATCTGGTTTTTAAAAATATCAATAATTATTGGGAGGCCGAGGTGGGAGGATCACTTGAGGCCTGGAGTTTGAGACCAGCCTGAGCAAGAGCGAGACTCCATCTCTACAAAAAATAGAAAAATTAACTGGGGGTCATGGTGAGGGCCTGGAATCCCAGCTATTTGGGAGGCTGAGGCAGGAGGATCACTTGAGCCCATAGTTGGAAGTTGCAGTAAGCTGTGATGATGCCACTGCACTCTAGCCCAGATGACAGAGTGAGACCCTGTGTCCCCTACTACCCCCCCCAAAAAAATCAATCATGATATTGACACACGTAAGTTTTTCCCTAAAACAGCAAGTGGTTCTCATATTCTCTGACTCAGAATTTTTCAGTAAGTGAGGTTAGAATTGATTGAAGAGTAGTACTCTATTACAGCACCAAAGAAAGTAAAGGATGTATGTATGTAATAGAACATGCAGGGAAGAAACATGTGTGGAATATAGCTAGGGAGATCGATGGAAGGGACACTTGTACCATGAAGCCCATCATGATGAACTGCACAGCCCTGTAGGCTTCCTAGGGAATTAATACTTTAAGATTCAAGACAAATGGCAAATGGATTACAAACAGATTAATAAATGGCCCCATACGAAAAATCAACAGGAAGGCAAATAGAAATCCAGAATCAAGATTCTTATTTCTTTCTTAGGTTTACCTTTGTTCTGGTCACTTAAATACATCACTTGGATCTTTTTCTGTATGCCCCACTTTTCCAAGCTAATATGACTGAAAGGAAAGAGACTATGCTTTCGGAGAATGGACTTATTAACATTAGTAAGAATCTGAGCGCATAGATTTGATAGGAGTTTTAGCCAAAAGTAGAAGATGGTTGAGAAAGATAATTAGAATATCATGTCGTTCAGAAAGCAGAATAGTGTTTGCCAGGGCTGGGGGAGGGGAGACTGGGGAGTCAGTGTTTGATGGGTGCAGAGCTTCGGTTGGGGAAGATGAAAGGTTCTGGAGACGTGTGGTGCGATGGCTGCGCAACAACGTGAATGTACTTAACGCCGCAGAACAGTACACTTAAAAATGGCTAAGATGGTAAATTGCATGTTGTGTATATTTCACCACACACACACACACACACACACACATACAAAATCATGTCATTAAGTTTAGCTTGGTGATTTTAATGGGCTGTGAAAGTGTATTGCCTAAGGTGGTCACACTTCACCAACGTTTTCAAATGAATTTTGGGAAAGATAAAAATAAAAGTTCTTGTCAGGCTTTGGGGATTAAGTCTACGATTTGTTCTCTTGAATCTGTCAGGTTTTGAAGCCTTACTCTGTGCCCAGAAGTATATATACACATGAAATGGTATTAAAAAGAGGGTTTGTATTTGCCCCGTGAACATCTTTTTAAAATTTAGATTGATTTTAATTCACTCAAAATGAATGTGCATGAATCTTACATTTAAGAAACATTCAGTCAAGTAAAATCCTAAAACTATGTGCTAGACAAGTTGGATTTTTTGCATTGTGGACAAGTGGCTTGGTATGCCTGGGCATAGTCTGGGGACCTCTGTAGCCTAAATCTCTTCCTTTAATAGTAATCTCTGTGAACGTCACTGGAACCTCTTTACTGGGGAAGTGTACCAACTGTCTTCAGCATTAGTGACCAGGAAGGTGTTTCTGCAGCACGCTGGCAGAAGCATTTTTTAATAGTCTTAACAGTGCTTTGCTGTGTTCAAAGAGAGATCCAGAAGAAAAACCAACAGTGGCTGTAGAAATCCAGTTAGGAAAAATTACAAGCCAGCAGGCTGTGTACAACCTGAAAAGGACAGGCAGGCAGCCAAGTATGTGTGAGCATGGAACGTTGCTGATAGTGGCCGGATTGGGCTATCCTAGTAGCTGCTCAATCAAAGACAGAAGCGCCCTTTGCCTGGGCAGCTGAGTCCTGGTGACTGCTCTGTGAAGGACTAAGGCCACTCCCCGGCCTGGGGCAGAGCTGGGTTGCAGGAAACTACCCCACTCTGCCTTTCCATCCTGTTGGTCGTGCACCTGGCAGCACATCTGCAGCTATTGCAAGAAAGGGGATCCCCCTGACCTGTTTTCAGAAGAAAACAGGTTAAAGAATAAGAAAGCTTGGGAGGCCGAGGCGAGCAGATTGTTTGAGCTCAGGAGTTTGAGACCAGCCTGAGCAAGAGCGAGACCCCGTCTCTACCAAAAAAAAAAAAAATAGAAATTATCTGGACAACTAAAAATATATAGAAAAAATTAGCCAGGCATGGTGGCGCATGCCTGTAGTCCCAGCTACTCGGGAGGCTGAGGCAGGAGGCTCACCTGAGCCCAGGAGTTTGAGGTTGCTGTGAGCTAGGCTGAAGCCATGGCACTCACTCTAGCCAGGGCAACAGAGTGAGACTGTGTCTCAAAAAAAAAGAATAAGAAAGCTGGTGTATTTGTTTTTAAAGTATAGAAGACTCTGGTGACAATAAGAGCAAGAAACAAAGGGCTTTATATTGTGACCTAGGAATCCTTCTCAGTGGGTGGTTTTTGATAAAGTTTGGATATTATACATGTGGTTCATAGTCCTTGAAATTTAAAAAATGTCATGTTTCAGCCTGCTGTTTTGACATTTGTAATCAGTATTTTATTTGCTAGGAAGAGAAGCACTCCCGGTCGACTCTTGAGTCAGTTTATTTTGGAGACAGTAAGAGGTGATTTGTATGTCGTTGCAAAGGAAGGGGGTGTTGGTGTGTGCATGGTAGAAGAATAGACTTGGATATGGAAGATACAGGATCTTATTCTGGCTTCATTACCAGTTGTATGGCATTAGGCAAGTTGATTTACTTCAATAAGGCCTTAATTTTCTTATCTGGAAAGTGATATTTGCCCTATGTCAGAGGACTGTTATGCAGGTCAAATCAAATAATATACGTGGAAACACTGAAGAGTTTGTACAGATGTACAAATTAGAGTTTGTGTAACTTCAAAGATTTTGAATCTTCCAAGAGTTGTACAGAGAGTGCTGCACGAATATAAGGTATCATCTGTTTGGAAATAGATCAGGAAGGAAGGTGACCTGGTAAGGATTCAACTGGGGAACAGAAGAAGGGACAGAAAGTGTGAGAGGGTGGTGATACAAAAGGAGAACAGAATGGAGACAGTGAGTACCCGCAGGAGGGGAAGACGCACCCAGTCAATGCGATATGTCTGTGTTAAGCACCTATGCGTTCCAGGCACTGTTCTAGGAGGTTGGGTTGTATCAGTGAATTTTTTTTTTTTTTGAGACAGAGTCTCACTCTTTTGCCCGGGCTGGAGTGCCGTGGCATCAGCCTAGCTCACAGCAACCTCAAATTTCTGGGCTCAGGCAATCCTTCTGCCTCAGCCTCCTGAGTAGCTGGGCCTACAGGCATGCGCCACCAAGCCCGGCTAATTTTTTCTATATATTTTTAGTTGTCCGATTAATTTCTTTCTATTTTTTGCTCAGACTGATCTCGAACTACTGAGCTCAAACAATCTGCCCGCCTCAGCCTCCCAGAGTGCTATGTATCAGTGAATTTAAGTAGAACTTATATGGAGTTCTGTGGGAAGGGACTGATAGTTAACAATGAACAAAACAAATTGGTAAATTATGTAGCATATTAGGCTAAGATAGTAAGTGCTATTTTAAAAGCGGAGAGCAGTGTGTGGGGCGGGGGAGTGCAGGAGGTGGCATTGCACAGGGTGGTCAGATGTGGCCTCCTTGAGAAAATGAGACTTAGGGAAAGACGTGAGTAGGGGAATTAGCTAAGCAGGTGTCTGGGGACGGGTGGCCAGGCAGGAGTCGGGGTAGTGACCCCAAGTGAGTGAACATTAGCAAAGATAGCCAAAGAAGCTTTTAATAAGATCTCTAGATTTCTGGAAGGAAATTGGCTACAAAATGAATTCAGCTTAAAAAGCGGAATAAACCATTCTCATTCCACATCCACGTGATTCCAAAACCTCTTGTTGCTATAACCACTGACTACTCTTAAAGGTCTGTGTATCCATGTGTTTTTCAAGTTACCTTCAAAACACAAATCCCTTTGAGCTAACAGTAATCAAACCTTAGGAAAGCCAGGGTTATTCCAGATCATCTGATAAAATCATGGTCTTTAGCTAATTGAGCCGTTCTTCCTGTGAATATAATAACATTTGGAAGAAAAACCAGCTTCTGCATTTAACTTTCTATTAGTTGTATATATGAAGAGTGCCATTCAAATTTTAGTATTTAGTGTAAGTTTGGCCTTGGGTGATTTTCTGTGAAACATCTACAGGAAGAATTTAAGGAACAATAGAGGATACCGGGGCTACTCTGAGGAAATGAAAACAGCTTTATCTGAGACACTCAGCGTGCAGCTACCTAACTGAAATCCAAACAAAACTAATCCACTCAGTCTAATAAAGAATTTACAGTAATACAGAGAAATTCCTTAACATTAGCACTTCAGAAAAAGTGCAGGAAGTAAAATTAGCCTTGAGGGAAGGAACAAAGCCATTAGATGAAATCCTATTACTGATGTGACAAACAGCTAGATCATCGCCTGTGGCATCCAGACATCCATATCCGCAAGGTAACGCCCCTGGTAATTCCAGGTGGAAGTAATTTCTGATCCATCTGAAGGTGGAAGTTGAGTTGGAACTTGTTAATGCCTGAGAAGATAGTTTCATATTTTAAAGGTAAACATATTTCATGAATCTTTCACCCATAGGAACAGCTAAAGAAAATACCTATTCTAAATGATTTTAATTTTTCTGTTTTGCTGAGTGAAAAAATATGGCTTTTAGTGACACATGTATTAAGTTGGCTACTCTTTAGGACTAGAAGCCTGTCACTTGTGTATTTGGCTTAGAATGTGGCATTTGACATTTGATACTTTTAACTTGAAATTTGGTGGTATTTATATCTTATTTTTACATGTGTATGAATTACTGCCAGAATTTTTGCCCTTTCTCTAGAAAGGGAAAAGATGACAAAACAGACTTGGATAAATTTCGTTTGGAAACTGTAGAAGTACAATGAAAACTCAAGCGTAGAGGGGGAAGAAAATGACTCCTTAATTTTCTTTTAAATTTTTCCTATTTTCTATCGTTCCTAATTTCTAAGAGATTTCCTCAGTTTCAAATGCTTCTACTTCTTCAAAATATTTTTTATTTTGATTTAAACCTTTGCCCTGAAGGTTCTTTTTCTGTAGTATTCTGCCCTTATTTTGTGGGTGGAATATCTTCTGTTTTCTGAGAATATTACTGGCAGCTTGTTTATTTTCTTTTTCCTGCATCATCATTGTTTCTTCCAAGTTGCTCTTTTCTGTTTTGGTCTTTTTCTGACTAGTTGCTCATAACCAGAATCCTTATTCGCCGTGGTTCTCTGATTATCATCAAGTATGATAGGAAGGCGGTGATAATGCGAAGCTTAGAGAAGCTACTAACTTACAAGTGCTCAGGCTTTTAGAACTGCCACCGTTAAAAGCAAACATAGCCTCATGTCTAAAATTGTATTAAAATGAAGCCGTAAGTTTAAAACCATCTTCAAACATTCTTTAAAATATCTATTTTAGGGTGTTTGCCAGCTTCCCAGTAAAAATGAGGAAAAGGAGTATCCGCACAGAAGAATCGATATCAGGTATTACCCAGACCTCCTCGCTGGCCTGTGACATTCCCTTCTCGTCTCCTTTTCTCCCTCCCTCTGGGGGTCTTGGATGTGACGTAAATGTCTAGGGCCCGCTCTTGTCCTGAAGGGCCGTATGTTCTTGCAAAGTACAGTGTTTAGCTTGAAAACATACAAAGAATAATATTATCTCTAGACTCTAATTTATTTTCTCTAGATTTGCAACTCATGGCTCCATAGCTCAGAAGTAGTTTCTGGGGAGCTGGTTGTGATAAGTGATGACGCTTTTCATTTCTCCACATTTCTCCACCCCTCTCATGGAGCAAAGTTCACTGAAACCTAAACAGATCTCAGGTGGGGGTGATTCCAGTGGTCTGCCATTCAAATGGCAGTAGTCTCCTCTTCAGGTTGTCAGACCACATAGACGTATTTAGGTATTTTGTTCCTTATTGATTTTAGGAGTCCTGTATTTGCTAAATTTGAAATATGTAGCAACAATTTATCTACTATTCATTTTTTTAGGTTGATACCCAAAGATCAGTATTACTGTGGTGTTCTCTATTTTACTGGGAGTGATATTTTCAATAAGAACATGAGAGCTCATGCCCTAGAAAAGGGCTTCACAATCAATGAATACACCATCCGTCCCTTGGGAGTCACTGGTGAGTATTTATGTCTGCATTGGAGGTAATTCCTGTCATCTGGAGAGAAAGTTATTTGCAAAGATGTTTTGGTTTAGCAGATTTAGTTTCTAAGCCTTCTGGTAACTATGCCCGTTGGTGTAGTTTCTTTGTATTGTTGGTCCCCAGGCAGTGAGAGGGGCGTTAATCCGGAAGGTGTTCCCGGGCCCTCAACTGAAGGCCATAAAGGATTTTTTAAAAAATGTGTCTCCAAGACTTCTGCAGAACTCAGCTGTCGTTGTTTCTAGTGCCACACAAAACTGGATAGCTTTGGCCCTGTGCTTTCAAAGTATAAGGATAAAGAATAAGGATCACTTAATCTGTGCCTTCTGGGTCTTGTTAACATTTCACGGCACACTCTGTGTTTACTATTTTCTGCTGGGAGAATGCGTTTTTGTCATTTTGCCCTACAAGTACGCAGTAGGCTTTCCACTCTGGTAGACCAGGGCAGTGCCGCTCAGGTATCAGTGTGCACACACGTCACTAGGGGACCGCATCAAATTCAGATTCTAATGCCCTGGGCTCGCAGTGGGGCTCAGAACTCTGCATTTCCAGTAGCTTCCAGGTAATGCCAGTGCTGCTGGTCCAAGCACCGCATTGTGAGTGGCAGAGGAGCTGACTGGAGTGTTTTATACAGTGCGTGATGGCTGCAGTGGAGGTCCAGCAGAGGAAAATCATAAATTCCAGTCCTTTTAATGGCCAGAGTTGGGATGCAAGATTCCTCTTGTAGCACTGATAATACATGTGACAAAGCTCCAGCATGAGCTCACGTGAGAGGATGGAGGTGGCCATTATCTCTTTTTTAGTGACTTGGTTATCATTTTCTTCTGAAAGCGAGTACCACCCAACTCTCAATCCTGAACTCCAACTAAATTCCAAAACTGGTTCTTAAAATAAGTTTCTTTTCTCTCTCTACTTGCAGGAGTTGCTGGAGAGGCCCTGCCGGTGGACAGTGAGAAGGACGTCTTTGAGTACATCCAGTGGAAATACCGAGAGCCCAAGGACCGAAGTGAATGAGGCCTGCCCGCCCTCCCACGCTGCCCACTGGGGGTCTTAATTTATTTCCTAACCTTTGCTGCGTAAGGGTCTTGGGTGTTTTTAAATGATTGTTTCTTCTTCATGCCTTAGCCTGCTTTGTAGTCAATAAAACCTCTCGCAGTTACTGGATGGCGTTCTTACCTTCTTAGCAAATACGTTTGGTCTAAATTTACATATTACTTTCATGATCACACTTTGCTATGGGTTTAGTAGAGAGAAGTGAGAGATGAGATGGTAACAGATCTTTAGTGGGAAATTTTATTTTATTCGTTCTGTGCTATAAACTACATTACCCCGCTACCTTTCCTCCTCCTCACTGATGATAAATTAGTCAATTAAGGTACACCCTCTGCAAGACGAAACTAGGGACCTTCATAAATTTAATTTTTTGATGGGCCCATATTTGATTTTGTAATATATATTTATAACTTAAATCGAAGAACAGATGTGTAGTTTATCTCTTAAATGAAATCTGTAGCAATTGGTTGTACTCTTACTAGAGCTTCCCTAAGCAAAACTACTTCTGACATGCACAAAATACGGCCTTTTAAACTTCAAATAAACAAAAATTTCATTTTTTTGCCTGAATGCTCCTCCGAGGAAACTTTTAAGTACAAATGGTCAAAATATGTAAGTAAAAACACTGCCTTGAAAGGAAAAATTATATAAATATAAAATGTAAAATGTTATCAAATGCTGAGTAAAGCATTGAAAACAAAGTATGTGCAAATGCTTTGTGACTTGCAAAGGACTATACAAACATAAGATTACCTTTTGAATCTTATTTCTTTGTTAGCCAAATTATTTTGTAGTGAAATGTCATTTCCCTTCTAAAAAATGAAGGGAAATAATAGCATTTTTAAGGAAAAATATAGTATTTGCTGTGATAATTTTCCCTGGTAAGATACAAGAATTAATTTCTTTTAACTTCAGATACCATCACTTTTTTCCCCCCATAGATACTGTCTGGTACCAGCCCTTCACCAGAAATCAAAGATTTATTTGGAGACGGAGATATTCGTCAGTTCGACTGCAGTAATCTTCACTACATGTATATCAAAACATCACACTGTACACTTTAAGCATATAAATTTCAAAAAAAGATTTATTTGCACTAATTAAGTCACTAGAAGAGAAATGTTTTTGTTATAGAATCATATACATCAGTTTTGCAGAAAAACAGGCAAAAAGCCAATGCTACTTTCCATTCATCACAAGGCAGCATTTCACAAGTCTCTAGTTTCATTCTACTTCTGTTGCTACAAGATTTGATTTTAAGAGATACTTGTATGGAAGCATTTTAAAATTAACGTTGGATGCTCCTTGAATACAATGAGGATCCTTTACTGCAAAATATGTAGCTTGTTATATTTTCCGGCACACTCTCAACCGAGCACGTTGTCTGTTGCCCGTCACTTGGCTTCGACACGACAGTCCAGGGCCACAGTCGCAACGCTGGAAGATTTCCGGAGCCTGAGCAGTGTCTTTGTGCCCTCTCCTGGAGCAGACCTGTCCCTCCAAGAGGACTGGCTTACAAATTTTAGTCCAAAAATGACGAGCACAGCAAAGCCCAGGGCCACAGTCGGAAGTTCTGAGACAGCTTTCTCCCTCTTGTCCTGTAACGAGATTGACACGGGCGTCAGTGACAGGTGGCAGAAGAGCCGCACGGGGGGAGCCACGGGGATAAGGGCTGTCAACTTATCCCTTCCAAGGGCCCTGGGTCCGAAGGCCACAAAGTGAGGCTAGACCGGCACGCAGGTCTCAGGGCGAGGCCTCAGGGTACAGCAGGGACGCGATGGGAACCCCAGCCCTGTCTGACGGGACGTGTCGTCGCTGGCGAGCCCCCGTCCTCGGCCTGCCGACTACCTGCGGCAGCTCCCCACGCGGCCTCTGTAGCTTCTTATGAAAGATTATGAAAGGACGTGCACCCTGTGTGTTTCTGGGGCGGGGAAGACTAAAGTCAGTTTCAGCCTGTCCCTAAGAGGCTCGGAGGAGATGTTTTTCTTAAATAAAATGTTCTCAGAATGCTGCTCTTACCCTTACTTCCTTGTGATTTCTTAATGTTTGGCTTCCTCTTGGGTTTGTTTTCCTGAATGGGGTGATCAGTTGTTCCTTTCGTGTGTGTGCCGTCTTGGTCATTGGTCTGTGGTTCCAACGTGGGGCTTGCACCTTCCATCATGGTACAGACATCTGAGGGACAGCCAGGTGTGACCAGAGTTATTAACCGGGGACTGGAGCCGCAGACACTCAGATCATCGCGCTGTTGTTTGGTTTGGCAGCACCTTTGCCCTCGGCTTATATGTGACTCTCCAGATTCTGGGACACGCACTGAGTGTTTACACGCTCATACAGCAAGGACGGTCACAGCAAGGACGGTCGTTAAGGAATTCATGGAACCTGAGTATTTACACGCTCACAGGGCAAGGACCGTCGTTAAGGAATTCATGGAATCTGAGTGAAAACAGAAGATTTGAATGATTCCAACTGGAATCTTTCCTTTAAAACCATCATCTGCAGGTCACTGGCAAGAGCTGTTGCCAGGAAATGATCTGCTTTGTCAGGAAAAGGCAGCCGCGTACATTTACTCGCAGCAAGAATCCAGGAACCCTTGAGAGTGCCTGTCTTGGAATATTCTAGCCTAGGAGATTCGGGTGCTGCCTTCAGTTTACACCCCCCGTTGGTGGGAGCAAAGCAGTCCCGCGAGGGTGCGAGATCGCTCACCGTTCGCGCAGAGCGTCCCCGGGCAGCACACGGCGTTGCGCTGGCACCTCCTCCGTACCCCGCGACACGTGGCGCAGAATGGCTTCTCATCCTGGGGTCTGAGGCAGAATTTTCCAGTGCTGCAGTCTTTGTCAGACAGGCACTGTGGACCCTGCGGAGGGAAACCGCTGTCAGAAGGGGCGGGAATCCAGCAGGACGCGAAGTGACTTTCTACTGCGGGCGGGAGGTGGAGGGAGCAAAGCAGAGCGGCACTTCGCAGGCCGCGCAGCGCCTGGTCTCGCGGGGTAGCCGGCCCCACCCGGAGGTCGGAGCAGCCGAGTCTCCGCCCAGCTGCTGCAGAGCCGTGTTGGAAAAGTTGTCTTAAGACTCAGAATTTAATTTTCTTATTCTCTGTGAAGACGGGAGAAAATGTTTTCTTAAGTGCGTCTTACAGATGACTGAGATTTTCAACCCGCGTTAGCTGCAAAGCCACGCTACGGTTCAGCCACATGCGCTGAGGTGTGGTGGCCTTCCCGTGGGACGCTCTACTCGGAGCACGTCCCCGCCGCCGCCAGTTAGCTGCAGGAGCCTTTCCCAAGGGAACTGTCCTTGGGATTTCATTTATGTACTTTTTTCCCATGTATTTTTTATCTGTATATATTCATGGGGTACGAGTCGTTACACTGACACATTGCAGAAGTCAGGGCTGTCCCTTGATTGCTAATCATGCCTCGTTCACACAGAGAAAAAGATACCAAAGATCAGTTTTTCTCATCCACAGTTGATGCTTTTTCATATGTATTAAATATATGTATTTTATATACACTATATACATGCCATCTATATTATAATATACACATGTATAAAATGATCCCTAAAACGATTCTGCAAAGTGTGACAGTGACAATGACAATGCGCCGTGGCCCTCTGTTTACTGGCCGGGTGGCCTCGCTTCAGTTCCTCAGCGTCGTCTTCATCTGGAATTAGGAGGTGCGCTGCCTGTCTCAAGTCGTAAGGAAGATACACGAGGTATTACAGATAAATGGCCTGGCACATGGTAGAACTTGCTGGATGCCAGTTCGCTCCCTGAGTGACAGGCGCACTTATGGCTGAGAGCCCTGAGGAGCCGCTGCGCGGATCTGACGCGTCAGCGCGGGCGCCTGCAGTTCACCTGCCGGCGAGCCCTCAGCGTTAACGCGAATGGCTCCGTCAGCCCCGCGACAGCGCGCGCCCGTCGCTGCCGGCGGCCCGCTCCCGAGACCCTACCTTCCGAGCCCCCTGCAGGGCGGCCCGCTCCCGAGACCCTACCTTCCGAGCCCCCTGCAGGGCGGCAGAGCCCCTGACGCCGTTGAAGTCCAGGACCAGGGCGCCCAGCGGCGAGCAGAGCCAGCCGAGCCCCAGCAGGACAGCCGCCACCATCCTGCGCCGCCGCCCCCTCGCGGGCCCCACACGCTGTGTCCCCGACGCGGGGCTGCTCTAAACCCGCGGCAGAGCTCCTGCCACGCTGGCGACCGGCAAGTCCTTTGCAACCGGCTTTTTCTGAAAGAGAAGCAGATCTGAGTCTGAGCGAGCCCGGCCAGCAGGTTCCCTCGGAAACTACTTATGGCCAGACGCGCCCTCCCCGCCCTTCCCTTCCTGCTTACCCCACACAGGCTCCAACAAATCCCTGCAAACCTGTTTGATCAATAGTTCAAAACAAGCGCTCACGAGAAGGAGAGAAGGGGCAGGCCACGCGCCTCTCCTCCGGGGGTGGAATCCCTCTTATTACCGCATATCAAAGTTAGTTCAAAGGGCCAGCGGCCGAGCAGGATGTCGGTATCAAAGGCAAACTCCGATAATCGCCTGCATTTCCTACCGTCAGTAATCCTCCGGGGGACGAGGGGGTCGGTCCTAAGATCTGTTTTCACAGCTAATTGCGCTCAAAGAAAGAATGAATCGTTTTGGCCAGTATGCTGTAGAGGATGCCAACAACTGATGAGTTAGAAAATACCCCGAGGCCTTACCCGGCACTTCCGATGGATGGGCAGAAAAGAGAGAAAACGCTTTCCGCGTAGCTCCGCATCCAGATGTAAACACCCCAGTGGCTCAAACGTCGCGAACGCAATAGCACCTGTTCCGACTAAATGTCATTTGGGAAATTACTCTCCTTTAAATGAAAATGGAACTGTTTGAAGTTAGGGTTATTTAATTAGGAAAATCATGACATTTATAAAAACCTCATTTTTTTGACAATGGGGACAAGGGGCAGAAAGCCCCTTTTGTACAGATTTATATGATTTAGTAGGAAGCTTTACATCTGCTCTACGAGCAACACATTTCGTTTGTGTTGCATCATGTTACATTGACTTAAGCAGCACAGGTACCCAAGTCTCTGGCTGATTTCAGATGGAATTTCATGCATTTTCAGTTTTCTTAATTTGAATTTTCCAAAACTTCTCCATCCCTTTCTTGTCTGGTTTTTTTTTTCCATCTAGACTGTTAGAGAAGTCAGGTAATTTAGATATGTGTTTATCACGGCCTTAGGTACTTTAAGGATAGAACAATCTAGATCTGGGTTCTAAAAATCCTTTTTCCTTTCTTCATTGTTCTCGGTGTAGACCCACCCGCGTGCCGCAGGTGGGGAGCGCTGTTGGAGTCCAAAGTGCGTCTCTTCTGTGCCCCACGTGGCAATCTTAGCATCACGGGGTCTTCGCACAGACCAACCCAACACTGGCCCACGGACATGCACCCCACATTCTGTGCACCCACAACATTCTCAGTTTTGAGTGATGCGGGTGCCATTCGGAGGCCGCCGGGGTGGGCTGAGTCCCCACTGCTCGGCTCTGGTCCTGGGGCTGCTGCCGTGGGACTCACGGTGCCAGGGGAGTTCCTTCCTCCTCAAGTACTATTTTTTATCACTTAAACCGAAAACATCAAACACTCTTTGATAGTGCGATAAGCCTGATGACTAGGGGTGTTAGAGAATTTATTTTGAAGTTGGACAATTATGACCAAGGATAAAGGAGAGCGCCCCAGGGTCCCAGCTCTGTCGGGTTTCTCTGCTTCCTGGTGCTTAACTGTAGGAAGGATTGCAGGGTACCAAAGGCCTCCAGCAGTGTACACAGACAAAAGGACTGGTGGGAAATCCTGAAACACAGCATAAACAGTCATTGAGCACTTAGCATGTAGTAGAACCTGCGGTTAGATGTTGGAAATAAAATATAAAACTTTGAAGATCTGGAGTCCAGACAGAAGACATATATGTATATGATTTTAATATATTATGGCAAGCACCAAAATAAAGGTTAAAAATGCAGGGCTGGAGGATTTATAAAGGTATAAAAACAGAAGGGCATGATTCAGACCTTCTGGAGAAATAAAGGAATGTGTTTACAGAGAGGGTAATATTTGAGCTGGGTTTTGTGGGATGCATAGGAGTTTCCTAGGTTGAGAAGCAGGCAATGGTCTGACCCAGGGTCAGAGGCAGAGGTGTGTGCAAGAGCATGGAGGTGCATTTAGGTTCTAGTAAGAGATTCTGTGTGGCTGGGGCAGATGGTGGAAGGATGAGATGGAGCTAGACTGAAGAACTTGATATACTATGCTAAGAAAATTGGATTTTACTCTCTATGTAATAAAAGTCATTGGAGATATTTGAGCTCAGAAATGGCATGATCTAATTTGTTTTTCAGGAAGACAGTGTTGGTGGCAGTGAGGAGTGGGAGAGAGGGGATGCGGGAGATCACTGGGGACTAGTCATGGCCCCAAGGACAGTGAAGAGGTCCCATCTAAGGCAGTGACGCAGTGACAAGGAGAACCAAGAGAAGGATGGGATTCTGAGGTTGAGTCTGCATCACTGGCTGCAGGGGTCGGGTGGAGCGGGCGGGAGGGCGGAGGCTGCTTCCGACCGACCGCTCTGACTTGGCCGGTGGATGGTGAGGGCCCTGGAGACAGGGGAGTGAGGGCGGAAAGCGGGGTGTGGGGCAGGATGAGAGTTTGCTTGAGAACGGCCACCCGAATAATTAGCGATGCTGGGTGTCTGACACCGAGCTGTAGGAATACCACCACATCTCCCATGAAGCACACTCTCTGTTTGGCCTTCCAGAGACGGGAGGGGAGTGGGTGCAGAACCAGGGGGTGACAAACAGCGGGGACAACACTGAAACGCGACTCCTCTGTCTTTGTGCCAGTCTCTTTCTGTTTCTCTTTCTCACTCTCTGACTTTCCGCTGAAAGAGTGTGTGCTCTGGGGCGGGGCCCCTCTGCCTGGACCACCACGCTGCCCCCCGCTGCCATCACCTCCCCTCCTGTCCACGCCCTGTGCATTCACCTGCCCGTCATGGCACTTACCAGACCGCACTGCTTCATGACCAGCCTGGGCAACACAGTGAGATCCCGGCTCTACAAAAAATAAAAAATAGCCAGGTGTGGTGCGTGCCTGTAGTCCCAGCCACTCGGGAGGCTGAGGCGGGATCGTCGCTTGGGCCCAGGAGTTGGGGCTGCAGTGAGCTGTGATTGCGCCACTGCACTCCAGCCTGGGGAACAGAGTGAGACCCTGCCTCAAAAAAATAAAACAATAAAAACAGAAACCAAAACCCCTCCACTGCAGTTGTCCACTTATTTGTCTCTACAACCAGACCCGACGGTGAGGGCAGGGCCATAGCTAATTGATCTTCGCATCCTCGCCTTTGTGTGCCTGGCACAGGATAAAAAGCTCCTCTACGGATGTTTTATGTGACGGACGAAGGCACAAATAAATGGGTTTATAGTGATTTTGTGCCTTTGGGCAAGTTGCTTCGCCCTCCTACGCTGCAGTCTCCTCCCCCGCGGGGCTGGCGTTACACGGACGGACGTCAGAGCCCAGCGCGGACATCTGTCCAGTGCAGCTCGCTGAGCAAACGCCTCCCCAGCCTGCGGCCTCGTTTGCCAGGCGAGACTACGATTTCTGTCTCTGAAAAGCCAGAGCAATTTTGAGGAAAGGAGGTCTGTGAAGTCCTCCCCGGAAAATGACCGTGGGTGTCCTTGTACACCTGCCACGGCTGCCCGCCCGCCGGTAAGCGGTGCAGGGCCCGGGCGGCGTCCGCGCCGGCGCCTGCGTCATGCGGGGCGGAGCGACGCGGGGCGGGACGAGGGCGGCAGGGAGGAGCCGGCGGCAGAGGCGGCGTCCAGCACGCTCTGCGGAAAGGCCTCCTCCCCGCTCCGCGGCAGCACGCTGCCTGCGGCCATGTGCGGGGACACCGCAGCCCGCGCGGTCCCGGCCAGTGCTGCGCGGCGACGATTCCTGAACCCCTCAGGCCGGCCCTCCTGGCCTTGCCGTGAGCGCCGCCCGCGGCTCCGCACCGCAGCTGCGGCCGCTGGAGTCCCGGCGGGGCGTGGGGCCGATGGGTTATGTTCACGCGGGAATGGAAATTCCCGTGTCATGGCTCCTGGTCAAAACCAGTTTGATTCCCATAAACTTTGCATTTCTTAAAAGAAAATCAAAGGAACTGAAACAAGCAGGGCTTTGGCAGAATCTCGCAGGAAATGTTCCACGAAATGAAAGACGAGATGCGGCGCGTTGACGGGGGCACGGGGTTGCAGGACATAGTCCTGCATCGGACGGAGGCGACCGAACGTTGCCACTGGTCCCCGAGGAGAGACGGCGACACCGGCCAGCGCAGGGGGGGGGGAAGTGAGTGCCGGTCTCGCGCCGACCGTGCGGCCGGGGTCAGGCCACTCTCGGCCTCAGCGCCTCATGGTCTTGGGAGCCTCTCACAGGCCAGGCTTCTGGAACCCACGGCGCTCGCCCCGGGCACCGCGCACGCCGTCTTCCGCGAACGTGGCACGCTTTGGAGCCGCGCGCCGGGCTCTGGCTGGGCGCCTCCCGTGTGCCAGCAGCGATCCACGGGCCGCGTGTGAAGTTTTGGAGGTTGAAACACAACAAAAACAGAACCCCTGAATTATATTTCTGCCCCAAAGTAGTTTACGACTGACCTCTTGAGGCCCCTCAGCCGTCCGTTTCGGGCGCTGGGATCTGCCTCGCGCAGGCGCGGCCGGGACAGCGGCGCCCGCCGGCTGGACTGAGGGACCTGCGGCCGCGCCCGCGCTGCCCCTGCCCTGAAGTTCGTCGCGCGCCCTTCACACCTTCGCTCCACGTTTTTTTCGTCATCCGAGCCTTGCTCTCTTGCCTCACTTCTCTTCATTCTTGTAATTCTTTTCCTCTTCCCTCTGTGTCCCCACAACCAACTCCACTTATCCTTTGTCTTTTCTTTCTTTCTTTTTTTTTTATGAGACAGAGTCTCTCTCTGTTGCCCGGGCTGGAGTGCCGTGGCGTCAGCCTAGCTCACAGCAACCTCAAACTCCTGGGCTCAAGCGATCCTCCTGCCTCAGCCTCCCGAGTAGCTGGGACCACAGGCATGCACCACCGTGCCCGGCTAATTTTTTGCATATATTTTTAGTTGGCCG